GGATGTTACTGAACAGTTTTCTTGCTCTCACACAATCACATGACTTATTTTGTAGTCTGAATCTGCAGTTAGCTTCCAGTCCGTACTTGCACTCAACCTAGTTACTTGGCTAACATGGCCCACATTATGTATGTTAAATAACTTGAAATGGTATCAAGTCTTTGAGAAAAAGATGAGTTGACAAGTTTATATTGGACAAGCAGGGTTAAAACCATGTTATGACTCGTAGCTAAAGTACATCTAAAGCTAATTGTGCTATAAAATCTCTTGTATTGCTTAAGCTTCTCGTTTACTTCTGTTTCCTCAGATTTTTATTGGTGGCTAAATGCCAGTGGTTGAGGACAATAAGTAGCCTTGGTTTTGAATCTTTGTTTTTTGAAGCATAATTTTGCTAATTAAAAAAAAAAAACAACCAAGTAGTTTTTTGCCCTGACCTAGCTCATTGCTGCTCTGTATCTTGTGCAAATTAAAAGGTGTCTTGGATTATTCACTGGAAAGTGCATTGCACAAGTTGTGCAAGTTTCCCCTTATTAAAATGGACAAGATAAAACTTTGCAATTGTTTCTTTATCTGAGTGTCAGCGAAGGAACATGTGTCTGTCTCATTAATTCTGATAATCTGTTTCTCTTTCAGACTACCTGTCTTCCACAGTAATTAGTTTAGGAGTATTCTCTTTCTGACTTTGCAGGTTAATCACAAGTCGTCATTTCTTACAGAGCTGAAATGATAAAAGTGAATGCTGCTTCTTCTATAAAAGCGTATTTTCTTATATTAAACAATTTGCATGGAAATATGTTTTGCTTCATTTGTTTTTCTTTAAGTATATTAAAGCACAGACCAGTGGCCTGCCTTGAATTCTGTTATAATAAATCCATGTTTAATTGCATAGTTGGTTTGAAAGGTGGATTGGTTAATTGACATGATAGGAATATATGTCTTTTACAGGCAAGAGGGAGTTGAGGATGGCATTTATGTCCCAATAGAAGTTAATGTACACACACAAGCAGGAAAGGTACTGACCTGTCGAAGCTACCAGATGAAGGACTATGTCTCTGGTCCCCCTTCTCCACAGTATAAAAAGGTAGGTGATGCAGCACTTTAGTTATGGAAGAGTGTACAGAAGTTTATAATGCAGTACTTCTGTGCTATTTAATAAGCACTTTGATTACAGTGGATGGAAGGCATGACTACTGTAAAGGTATAACAGTCCTTGTGCAATGTACTGCTGTAATGATGCTCACAGGAGATTGCTAGCTCTTACAGGCCTTGTAAATCAGCTTGGGGTTTTTGGTTTAGTTATACTTCACAGGAAGTCCCTATATAACTTGTGAATTAGCTGTGATTTGCACAAGGATTTCTGGAGGATGCTGTTCACATATATGTGGCAATTCTCTGTTTGAAAAATTAAGTACTCTACTGAAAGGACAGAGGGAAGCTTCTGTGGGGAAAATACAGCACCTGGCTTGTAGTTTCCAGGACGTGGGTTATGCTTACTGTCACAGGAAGTACTTGCTATCACGACAGGGTGCAGCTGTCACCTTTTACCAAACACATCACCAGTACACCACAGGGCTCCAGCAGCATTGCAGAGCACTGCAGGGTTCCCCCTTGATGGCTGGTGAGGCAGACGTGTTTCAACACTGTTCTGCAACACTGACTCTGTAGGGACACATGACCCAGTCACGCAGCAGGCCTGACCTGCTTAGCCTGTGAGATCTGTGCAGGCCCAGGCTGGGGTGGTGTTGGCTGTGTGTCTGAGTGGTGCAGCTTTAGTACTGCTACAGACATCACTGCAGCTGGCTTTTCCTACCTGAAGTGCAGAAACCAGGAGTGAGCCTGTGAAATCCCAAGTGTGCCACCTTCTCCAAACTGAGGAACTCACTCCTATGAATGACTTCCAGGAGCACAGCTAAGACCAGCTGCTGTGGGAGTGCTGAAGAGAGGGCTTGCTTAGAAAGCAGGCTCTGCTTTTCCACAAACCTCTTCCCTGCCAATCCACCTCGTGGCAAGGCAGGTCTTTAGGGCTTTTCAGGGAGTTAGTATATAGTCTGCTGCTGTGTGTCAGCTCTCATTGGTATGCTGAAAGTGCAGACCTCTGATATTGACAACTTTATCATTCCTTCCTGGTTCTGTCAGGAGCAGTTGTTAGTTCTGTTCTTCTCCTGTGCCCCCAGCTTTTTTTTTTTTTGTTTCTTTGTTTAAATTAACCAGGCAGGAGAGCTAAAAACTTAAAAGATTACTGCATTTGCTAACAGTGACTGAACTACATCCATCTCCTGTTATGTACTTTTTGTGGCAAAATTATTTCTTTCCAGACACCTCATCCTTGAAATGTATGCTGTTGAATGCATGAAAACATATTTAGAATGTTCATTTCTATATGCAAGCTTGCTGGTGTCTCCTTCAAGCTGTATTCCTACAACTTCCTCTACTCCTCTCACTATCACATCTTTTCTTCTGCACCAATACTTCAGTTTCTTTCATGTATAGAAGGAAAGCAGCATTAATAAGCTAAGGAATCTGTACTTTTTCACTGAATTAAGTGTCTGTTTGTTATTCCTGTACCCTGTCTAGGTACTTGTTGTTGTCCTTTGGACAGCTTAGTTTTAAAAATACTTTTTAAATTTTCAGCCAACTTCAGTGTCACACCTGAGTGAGAAGTAGCATATATTATTGAAATTATCATCTTGTCTGGAAAAAAGAACTGAATAACAGCTTAATTAGAGAGTCTTGTGCACTTCAGTAACGCATCAGAATCTCAGGGGTAGTTAAAAGCCTTTTCAGAGTAATTTTGTTCACGCTGTTCTGGTCTTCAGCAGTCTGCCAGAAGCCTTTGGCTAACCTTAGGTACAAATAGCACTATTTGAGATAAATTCTCTGGGTAACTTAAATGGTTCCTCCTACTCAAGTGATTGTTTGGAGGAGTCTGTCCTTTCTATTACTGAAGGCTTTTTTTTTCCATTTTAATTATAGGTTATCTGCATGGGTGCAAAACAGAATGGCTTGCCAACTGATTATCAGGAGAAATTAGAAGCTATTGAAACTAATAACTATGCAGGACCGGTGCCAATCATGGAAGAGATTGAAGCTGCTATTAAAGCAGAGGAAATAAATTCTGCATAGAATGCCTCTGCATTTGCTTGGCCATTCACCTTGATTAGATATCTCTCTTCACTGTGCTGCTCAGCAGTTTATTTATCAAGAAAAATGAGTTTGCTGTGCATCTGCAGCAAACCATTAGACATAACTTGCAGTCTGAAGACACATTGACATTGGTAACTTCTTTTTCTATGAATAGCTTGAATACATGCTGAAGTACATGCTGCAAGTACATTGCAGATTCAGGAATTATCTATCTGCAATTGTCATGCAGCGCTGCATGTAAATTTGTGCTTCATGTCCAGTTTACTGACCTTTTAAAAAGAAAAAGGCCATCGTCATGAATTTTGCATCTGTTGCATTCTGAGGAATAAGGGCTGCAGGATCAGGTCATATGTTTGTACAAGTTATATGTATACATGACTACATTTGTTAGATGCAAAGTAAACTCAAACCTCTAAGGCTAAACCTTTTTCTCTGCTACTTCTCATAATGGTTTAAAGCCCAGTTCTTGTTCCTGTTTTATAGTTAATAGAAAAAAAGTAGCATTTTTTTAACTCCTTCCATGTTTTAAAGCGTAAGTCCAAAAGGCAGCCTGGGCCTGAAGACAACATTCAGCAAAGCATCTCATTCAAACCATCATAGCTTCCTTCCTTTCAACATCTAGTGAAAGTCATGGGTGAACTCGTTAGCTATAACCAATAAATTTTTAAAGAATTCATTTTGGTTTGGTATTTCTAAGGTTTTTTAAATTATCTTTTTGAATGGCTTATTTGTCTATCTAAGCCTCGGTCTAGTGAAATCAGAAAGTCTCCTTTGAGCCCTACCACATTTATTTTGTGGGTTTTTTTCTCTATTAAACCCTAAATTAACAGACTTGGCCTCTTGTGTTGGTTTTTTGTTTGTTTGTTTGTTTTTTCTCCCCACAGTTTGACAATCCAATGCAAAACTGGAAGCTTTTGTAACATATAGAGAATTTATTTTCATGGTACTTTGCAACCCCTGCAGTTAGTCTTTGGGGGAATGAGGAAAAATTGACAACCTGGAAGGTGTCAAATCACTGAGATTTGGCTTATCTTCTTCACAGTGTATTTTTTTCTCTTGATGTGCAGAGAGCTGTAAGATATAATTGATGTCACTGTGTGACTGCTTAGATAAGTAAATGATAAAATAACAGACTGACCATGTCTTCTCTGTTTAAAATGTTTTCTATAAACTTCTGCCAAGTTGGTGTAGCTGCTGTCCTGATGTAGTATGTCTGTTTCCAGAATTGGGCACAGTGACTTCTGTAAAACACGGTACTTTCCGCATTAGCGCTGTCTAGTTGGAGTAAATAAAACTGTGATTACCAAACCTCAACCATGTCTGTTCAGTGTGCACCCCTCAAGAATATCACAGATTTTTAGGGTTGGAAGGGACCTCTGGAGATCATCCAGTCCAACATCTGTCAAGGCAGGGTCACCTCGAACAGGTAACACAGGAACACGTCCAGGTGGGTTTGAAATGACACTGGAGAGAGAGACTCCACGACCTCCCTGTGCAGAGTGCGTTGCTGATGTAAATAAAATCTGATGTGGGGATGCAGCTGAAGCATCTACTGGCTGTTTGTGGTTTTTTAATGGATGTAAAGTCAGTAGGGAGCGCAAAACTATGCATGAAGTATTCCTCTGGCAGTTTCCTTGCGCGGGGGGAGCTTGACCGAGGGAACTGGTCGCTGTCAGAGGACCCCTGGCACCTCTCGGGGAAGGAGGGGTGGGTGCGGAGGGCAATGCTATGCTGGCGGAGGGAAAGCCTTGGGCCATTCCTGCGCGGGGAGGAGCCGCTTCCCGCTGGGGAGGAGAGACCGTGTGTGGGGCGGGAGGGGGTGAGGAGAGCGCCCGCGGGCTCCTCCCCTGGCCTCCGTGCCTTCGGCGCCGCGGTGAGTGCGGGGAAGGGCCGGGGGAGAGGGCTGGCGGGTTCCAGTGTCTGCTTTCTGTACAGCAAAGTTTCTGCGGTACCGCGCGGAAGGCTTGGAAGGTGGGAGGGGAAGGGCTGCGCCGCTCCTGAGCTGGAAACTTCGGGGCTCCCCGGGAGGGTCCGTCCCGCCGCGGCCGGCGCTGTCTGCCGGGGAGCGGGGACGGGGACGGGGACGGGAGCAGCGCCCGCGGACAGCGCGGAGACAGCGCCTTCGTGCGAAACACAGCAGCGCTGCCGGCGTAAGTGGGGCTCCCGATGCTGGCGAGGATGTGCTCCTCGGCTGTCGGGGAAGGGTGGTGAGGTCCCAGGGACGGAGGAGGTGGGAGGGATGCATCGCTCCCCTCCCGGCCGCGGCGGGGTGCAGGGAGCCATTGGCTTCCCCGAAAGCCGCAGCGGAGATCCCAGTGCAGGCGCGGAGGCACGCGGCGCTCGCTTAGGCCCCGGTGCTTCGCCCACCTACCGCGAAAGAAGCTGGAAGAGAAGGAGGCGGGAGCGGTTCGCAGGGCAGGACGGTGCCCCGCGGCCTGGCCGCGAGTCCATCAGCTCCGTCATTCCATCAGCTGCAACTTTCCGTGTAGGATTCGCTGCTGGTTGCATGTGAAAATAGTAAATGACAGTAGAAAAGCAGTTCCATGTTTATAGACAACAGTGAATTGCCCCCTCCTCCTCTGTCTCTTAACAAAACAAAACAATCGCAAAAAATTCTCTGGTTGGAGAAAGTTTCTCTGCTTTCTAGTAGTGACTCCTTATTATTATTTATTGATCTTTTCCCACTGGGAAGGAGTTACAAGGAAGTCACATAAAGTATTCCTAACAGGAGCTTCTTAATGCATCCAAACACTATATATAAAGTTGTATTTCTATACAAAGGAATCTCTTAAGATATGTAAGAACAAAACCTGTGAGGGATGTGAATATTTCTGCCAAAGCCTGTGCCTTTAAAAAAAAGCTTGTCATTTTACCAGATGGAGGCAGACATAATTTCTTCTGTATTCTTTTATATCTGTTGCTCTTCAAATAACTAGGGATGCTTACAAAAGCTTATGATACAGTCAGAAGAGAGAGAGAGAAGGGAGGGAGGAAAAACCACTGAAAGATGCTGATCTCTGGGACCCCAGAGCAATGCAAGAGCATGAGTGGTAATGGATTTACAGGAATATGATGCTAACATATGGGTCCCTGGGCATTTATTGACATGTGTAGCATCACTGATGATAGCTAGAGATTGTGAAGTGGGGCGTGATGAGTGTGCTTTAATTCACAAAAGCAGAATAATTTAAGATCTGCATGGGGACTCTGTACAAGCTCTACCAATGCACCATTTTTGCTATAATAATAACAGGCTATTTTTTAGTACCTTTGGGAGTACATTGCATTGCTTCTCATCAAACAGGCAGACTTTTTGTGTAGCACATGTGCCCATTTGCCTTTAATCTCTGCGTGTTTTTTACTATTCTTGAAATAAGTAAAATAGCTAAAGTTCTTTTAAATGTGAGAGCTACTGTGTGGAAATAGGTGTTTTATTCACTTATTATAGTCAAAGACTGACTGCTGTTGCATGCATGACATAAGATGTGGAAAATCAATCCCTTTTCTGTCTCTCCCAATGAGAGCAAAAAGTAGAATTTATGCTGGCTGACAGAGTCCAGATTACCAAGCATACCAAAATTTCCAGTTCTCCTCTTGCTGTAATGACTCCGCAGTGAGTAACTGACACTGTAAAATAGCTTTTCTCAGGAAACAAATTTGACTTGAAGACACAAAGGGCATAGGGCTCTGTTTCATGTGAAATGAAGCATAGTTTTCATACAGCCACCTTTGGAAGAGTGATCATCTTGCAAATGCTATGGACAGAAGGCTGTGTACTGGGGACTTCACTAGCCCTGGACTGGCACTCAGGTTTCTGTGCTTCACTGTTGTCCTGCCAGAGTTGGCTACTAGTGCTGTGTAAATCCTGAAGATAATCCAGCTAGTGGCTGCAGGTAACTAGGTAATAGCAGAGGACTATCTCACAGGCAGTTTAGAGGAGCAGTTCTTGTCAGAATAGGAAGACTGCAGAAGGAATATTGACCGAGTTTTCAACTCTTCAGAAATATTCTAGATTGGTATCAAATTAGTTGCTTTAAGGGACAGTTGTTAATTAAGTTGCTCCTTGTATTGCCTTTATTGTGTCATTCTACACAGTCCCAATTCCCTAGCTGACCCAGAAGTTAATAAGGATTCAATTCCCTAGCTGACCCAGAAGCTGAAATGTTTTTTAGCTGTTCTGTAAGATTCTTCAGCCCGTTTATCTACAGCATTTACCTTTGAGAAAACCTTGTTGCAATAAACCAGCACATTCTTTGCTGCCAGGGGTCTTGCAGCACTGGGAGTGGAACAGGCATCACAGTTTTGTTAGAAGAAAGAACTAGGAGATCTTAGTAAAAAGAGGATGTGAGGAGGGCAGGGCCAGGAAAAGTAGAAATGTATATACGCTTGCACAATGCTGAGAGTAGAGGGAACTCAGAGGAAACACGAGATGGAAGTGCCAGTGCCTTTGTGCAGAAGGCATTGGCGCCACTGCAGCTTATTGACACGGATTGTACAAAACCTTGCTGGAAGTACGATGCTTTTACTGTACCTCTTACTATGACAAATTTCATTTCCCTGTTTCATTTCCCTCCTTATTCCTGGCCTGATCCCCATCTTGCTTCCTCTTTTTATTCTCAGTGGCACAGGTTTATGATAGCATTGATTGCCACACTTGCTGTTGCTTCTCATATCATTTCAATCTCCCATCAGCATTTCATTTGGCCAAGACCCTGTCTTCCCTTTCTTCTTGGCTTTTACAGCCAAGTGGGTGGGTAAGTATTCTGCTCTTGGGCTCTTTTTAATTAGTTCTAGTCTGTTTCCTGCCTTCTTCACCTGATGGACTTCGCTGTCCTCAAAATGACTAAATGCATTTCCTCTTCAACATCACTGGCAGCCTCTTTAGTAAGTAATTGGGTTTTTTTCGTTTTCCTCTTAGGAACAAGAAGTCCATTCTCTTCCCAGATAGGAAGCTTTTCACTGTGAGTGTTTCTCCTGTTGTCTCCTCATACCAGACTCCTGCTTCATTCAGGTATCATCTGTCTTGTCTGTCTCCATTCCTCCTTAGGTGTTCTGCTGTTTCAGCTGCTCTGTCAAGCTTGCAAGTCTTTCCCTTTTTCTTGCTCATTTCTCCAAATAGATGTGTTCACAAGCTGTTGCTGTTAAAGCAGGTGATCTGTTTTGACTGTAACTTGTAAGACCCTTAAGGTGTCTTTCAGAAAAGACATTATTCATTTATTCACTTTAGCCCTTTCAGAAATGGAAGGCAGTATACTGAGGAATCTCACGTTAATGTATGTCTCAGTCTTTTCTAACAGCATCCCCATGACGGATGCAACATCAGTCACACGAATTGCACCGGAATAGAATCCAGCATCTGGAGGGCTCAAGATAAGGCAAAGAACACTGTATGCACTCTAGTAAGGAAGTGCTTTCAATGCCTATTTATAAGCTGCATTTACCTTTAAAAATACCAGATGTGTAACCTAGCATTGTAAAACTGACAGATCCTTCCACAAGAGACTTAGCAACCTTGTGTTCCCTCACTGAAAAACTCATATTGGAGCACTGTGGAAGCTGGTGCTCTTTGTAGAAAGAGAGATGATGGGATGCAGATAAGCTGGAGACCTCATATTGTCACACACTGCCCTCGTGTTTTTAAAAATGCCACCAAAAAAAAACCCCAACAGCTCAAAACCCCTCAACAACACAAAGAAAGCTCCAGTGAAACAGAATCATTTTTGTCAAGCTTCTTAATACAGCTGATACATTTTGCTATGAATACATGTAGTAGGAAGTCTTCCTGTTCCAGCACCATTTGAAGTGTTCAGCTCTTCATTTGGTATGGATTTTCTTAATCTGTGAATGGTGGAAATTTCCTTTTTTTTTGTTGTTGTACTAAAAAGGACTGATGAAAAGTACTAAATACTCCAGTACTGGCTGGTGTGGGGTTTTGCATTGTATTTAGTATTTTAATTGAAAATATCACTGAGTATGTCATCATGCACAGAATTCATATTCCCAATCCTGACTTCCCTGCTTGGCATTTTTGTTCTTTCTCCTTTCTCCCTGATGTTTAGCCTCACTTTATATTCCTTTTTGCTTGGTTTCTTGTTTCTCCATTCTCCTGCAGATCACCTGATGTGAAAGGGAACATACTCTGTCCTGCAGCGTTTGTATGCACACCAGTTCCAGTAGCAACCATGGTTTGTACTGACTTGGATGTAGTCAGATGCAGGACAGACATCTTTGAGACTTACTTGTCATTCTGTTTTTCATGTTCTGTCCTGCTGCTGTATTTCTTCTTTCTTTTCTTGTGCTCTTTGTAGATGGAACTGAAATAGTGAAGAAAATGCTTCTATTTGCTTTATACACTTGACAACGTGTTGGTTCATTCTTATGGTTTTCTGAAGATTTGTCTCAGTTCTTCTTACAAATTAGGAAGAAAGAAAATGCATTAGAATAACGTGGTCCTAGAATTGCCAAAGCAATCAAGGAATGTTGAGTGGATGCAGTATCTTGAAAAATAGGGTTAATATTCTAATTGCATGTTTTAAGATGATGCTATCTCTTTAACTAAAGCCTACAGAAGTTTAAGGCTAAATGTTGTTTTCAGCATGCTTGGTCTTCATTTACGGAATGATCTTTCTTGAACAAAGAGATGTGCCAGTGTGGCTTCTGGAAAGCTGAGTGACTCAGAAATCAGCCACTTCCTTGGGTGGGTCATCTGAATGGGGTAATGAAAGCTTGATTTGTCTGAGTGGATGCAGTCACTTACTGGTGTGGTGAGAAATTCAGATCACTTGGTTACATTCCGTTTGTTGCAAACAGTTTTTCCATTTTGGGAGTTGGCTGTGACCCAGAACAGTTGTGCTGGGGATTTGCCAGGTCTCAGCCCTTGGAGAGCCCAACTTTTAAGGCAGTTATCTGCATCCATGCAGGTCAGCAACCATAAGTTGGGACCTGTTGGGAAATCCAAGGGGCTAAGCTGGTTTGCCCAGCTGGTTTGAATGTAGATAGTTAGTATCACTAAAATGCAGTAGCATAAACTGTGTCTTTCTCCAGCATCAAGTAAGAGAAGCTTTACTGATGCAGACAGCAGCTTCTGATATAGAAAACCCATAGAAGTGAGATTGTTCCAGTAGCAGGTCACTTAGAATAATCTGTGAGCTGGCAGGGCTCAGTTATAGCTTGACAGGGGAATGCTAGGGAGCATTTGAGAAAGTTTACCATCACTGCAAATGTCTTGGGAAGTCGTGAGAATTTTGTAGCAGCAGAGTTGGCATACTTACAGAATTGTTGAAGGGTTTTGTCTTTTGGTTTTGTTAATATGACTGTAATCATAATCTAAGACCATTCTTCCAGATATTCCTTGACCTGCTGAAATGACAGTATGGTCTAACTGTTACTGGGTGTTGTCAGTCATTTGTGTTGATCATGCAGATTCTTGCTGAATGTGTGAAGGTGATTCAGTTGCGATCTTGGCAAAAAAATTAGCTTCCTGCATGGGAAATTGTATGTGCAAGTTTGTACCTAAATAGTACGTAAATGAAGTTACTGTTGAATTGTAATTTCAGTATAACTTCATACCTACTATATGGTGGGAACATTAGGTAAAATTACAAGAAGCCCTGCTTTAGTAATACAATAGAGAGCAGTCTGATCGTGATTCCTCCTGTTTTATGCCTTGTAGAGAAAAATAGGAATAAATGGACATCTAAAAAGAGCTCGCAAGAGGTGGTTTGGAGAACAAGGGCATACACTGTGTATATATTTGCAGACAAAGAGAGGGCATTAATGCTAAAGAGTATGGTTTCAAAATTACCTCCCTCCTGGTGTTGGTGGACCTTGTGTCCTTAGAAGCTAAACTCTTTTCCCTAGCTTAGCTAAAACTGCCTCAGAGTTCACAAGGCCTCGCTTTCAGGAGCAGTCATTATATTTGCAGCACTTCATACAGTCTCTTGTTGTAACAATGAAAAAGCAGAGTGAATTGCTACTATAAATTAATTCCTCCTACAAAATTAATTGCTATGAAGTATAATTTTATTCAGTTTATTTCCTTGTCCAGATTAGGTTTGGACAGATGCCCTGCTTTGTCTACAGAAACATGAAAAGCTAATAAAAAATATTAAATTATGTATTAGGAACAGGCAGTTAATAAGGCAGATGCCAGTGGTGGTGTTTGAGGGAAGCTAGAGTAAAATACTGGTACAGGAGGTAGACTGCCTGTTGTAGATATTTTATTTTTCAAAACCTGAACAAATAAATGGAAGTACCTAAGGAAGAAACATTATTAAGAAGTTGGCCATGATACTACGCAGAGTTTGGGAGTATTCTGTGATGTCTAATTGAAGGATGTATATGCATAGAATAAGGTTTAAACTGAGGTTCTGTGCAATTACTTTTTGCAGGCTTGGTGATGTGAAGGAAAGATTTCTTCTTTGCCTGAAATTAAATCCAAGCTGACCAAACAGACAGTTTTTCAAAGATGAGGCTTGGTGGAGCAGCTTCTTGGTATCTCAGCTATGGAAGGCCAACTCTGTGCTAATGTGGACATTTCTGTGAACAAACCACCAGGAGCAAGCCCTCAGTCCTTCATTGCTTTGCTGAAGGTTCACCGAGAGCTTCTGGTCGGTAGGATCCGAAACACGCAGTGTTTGATTGATAACTTGATTAAGAACGACTACTTCTCCACTGAAGATGCAGAGATCGTTGTCCAGTTTCCTACTCAAGCAGATAAGGTATAATTTTTTTTCTCTAGCCAGTGAAGCTTTTGGTTACAGGTTCATCTGACAATTTTACATCTAGTGTGTTTTCTAATCTTTCTTGTTTTGGAGTTTTTCCGCTCTGTTCTTCCTGGATGAGTGTCTCCAGTATATCCCTTTCCAGCAGGGCTGGCACTGCTGGTTATGCCCGTTGGCAGCTGTAAGAATTTAGCAGGGTGATAATTGCTGTTCTGTCCCTCCCAGCTGCAGCTTTGTCCTCTGATAAAGAGGTGGCCACATGGTTGTTAGAGTATAGCAAGGAAAATCTGCTTTAGGATGCTGTGGGATAGATCATCTTGTTTTAGGAGACACAGAAATGAAATGTTGTTTTGGAAGTCAATGATTGTTTGTTGTCTGTATGAACACCTTCCTTTCTCTTTAAAGACCTATGAGTGTTGTAAATGTTTCTGTGGAAAATTGACGTATCCTGGTGTATTTGGGGTTTTAATTCATCTTTAGACATCAATAGCAAGAATTATTTCCTTTCGTTAGGAGAAATTAGGGTTTACAAAATTGGTCTTTGCTTTGTAACTTGAAACAGCTGAGGAGATTGTTTCCCAGACCAACCAATCAGGCAGCTTCAGAACCCTGTCACAGTTAGGGGCAGGCAAACCATAAAAAATTCAAAGACCTTGGACTTCACAAACAATGCAGATTTCCATAAAATAATCATTCTTGCTGGCATGTTGAAATGGTAACACAGTGCTCGCACTGTGTGTAGGGTCAAAGCTGAATAAATGCACACTGTATGATAATCTCAATTTCTTATTGTTCAGCATAATATGCATGGTTGTTGTACCAAGGCTGAGGGGGAGGCCATGCATCAGGAGTCTAAGCAGAGACAGAGAACAGGCCACAGTAGTGTAAGTGAAGTGGACTCTGTGGGAGCTTCTCTGGGAGGCATAAAATTGCTTTTTAGAGCATACAAATTGTCAGAAAATGCTCCATATGTTTGCTGTGCTACGTGTACATCACCCTGATTTAAGCCCACAAGAGACCACAGTCTCTGGAAACCCTTTGTCTGGTTTAGAACTACATTCTTCAATTATTTCTAGCAAGGGGATCCCGACATTCAAAATGTGCCTCCAGATGACTGCTCTGTCTTGCAGAGGGTTTTATACTAGCACTGCCTTGTACTGGTGCACCGAGATCACCCTCTGCCTTGCCCATGGACGTGACACTTTGCTGAACTGCTCCAGCCACTGCCTGGTAGCCATTATTTTTGGTAATAACTGCAGGAAGAGGGGCCATTGTACAGAGAGAGCCTGGAGAATTGAGTTGCTGTGTTGGAAGGAAAGTTTGAAGGCTTTTGGCTCAGCGTTAAGATCCAGGGAGGGATTCAGCCTATCCTGCTCTGGACCTGGCTGGATCCTGAGGTAAATCCAAATGTGACTAGAGTATTTACAAAACAGAGGGTGAATTTAGGGCACTGAGAAACCACCTCTATTTTCATTTTAAACAGCACAGGATTTAAAATACACTATCTAGCCAAGCTGAGGAAATCCTTTGGCTTCCCTGTTGAGGAGTGGTATTTATCCATTTTGTTTCTGGTTAGTGTGATTGAGCTACAAGTTCAGACCTTAACTTGCAGAACAAACTCTCTCACAGCATTCAAACACAAACACCAATTGAGTTTTGTGGTGGTTTCCAGTTCAGAGCTGGATTTTGATTTCACCTTTTTGAAGCACCAGTTTTGATTCTGCCCCCCTCCTCCAGTCCAGAAAGGATCCTAAAGCAGTTAACGAGTATTACTGTGATAAAATGCTGTGTACCAATGATCTTTCCTGCGGTGTTTCTTCAGGTTCGCAAAATTCTAGACTTGGTTCAAAGCAAGGGAGAAGAAATTTCGGAATATTTCGTCTATGTCCTGCAGAAAGTCACTGATGCTTACTATGAGCTTCAGCCTTGGCTGGATGAAATAGGTTACAAGCCTTCAGAGAATATTTGTAGTAAACCTGTGGTAAATACAGATCCAGGTAAGGTCATGCATCTCTATCCCCTCTCTTACAACTACCCTGCTATGCAGGAAGCTCCAAAAAAGTGACAGAAGAGTAAGAGTTTTGGGAGTACAGCCAGGGAAAATAACTGTGTGCTTGCTAGCAGTGGTAGCCAAATTATATCCACTGTATAATACAAGGATGATGTTGATAAATTACATCCTGTTTTGTTAAACTCAGGCTCTTTCTGCATTTGTTTGTGGCTATGTAACACAATGGCAGAACCACCTTGTACCAGCTGTAGCATTTTCTAAGCCTCTACTACAATTTATTAGCAACATTGTGATGTGTTGGCCATGGACTAGCCAGTATTTCATTATGAGAACAGCCAAGCAATGAGGCAGGTTGCCCAGGGAGGCTGTGCAGTCTCCATGGGAGTTTTCAAGGTCCGACTAGAAAAAGCCCTGAGTAACCTCATCTGATGTCAGAAATTATCCCGTTCTCAGCAGGAGGTAGGACTAGACCTTCTGAAGTCCCTTCCAACCAGAATTACTGTCATCCTAAATGATCGTTTTTAGCAACCCTAAAAATCAGAGTATAAGTATTGCAGAAATTATTTCCTCTGGAGAGGCTTTTCCATACCACATAAATATAAGAATTACTTTGTCCCCATCTGAAGCAAAGTTTCTGTTGAAAACCACAGGAAACGTTGTGCAATAACTGAGGTTCTCTTCTTTTTTTTTTTGTCATCTTAAAAAAAATCTTTTGAGGTGCCTGGTACTAGGTTTCTGAAATGCATGGCTTCTATTTGCAATAACATAAATGACTAAAGAAAGTAGGAACGAATAACCACCTACCTGATAGAACTGCAATTGGAATATAAGTACAGTGAAATCAGTGACCAACAACTCCAACAAACCTTTGCAGAGAGTTAAGCAGCCTTTAACAGAGTGTCAGGGACTTGACTTTGAGTCTCAGGTGAAGGATAGCAGCCCCTTAAACCAATGCAGCATCAGTACTGGCTTTCAGGAAGTGGTGGCTCACATGTGACCTTTCTTTAGCACCTGAATTTCCCAAGTGGGTGATGATGGCAGCACAAATAGAATTAATCTGCCAAAGAGCCCTTTCCACATTAGAATTACTTTTGTTTATTACCCCCTCTGAGTTCCCAGGAAGGTGGGTCATTGTATGCATAGGTTTTAAAATAATAGTCTCTTTACTAATAGTTCACTGTCTTTTCAGTCAGCAGGTATTGCCAGAAACTCAGACATGAACTGGGACGGGACTCCAAGTTTTTTATGTTGTACGCTCAGAAAGAGGAGATGCTGCTTGAAGAAATATACTCCAACACTATTATGGAGCTGGTCAGTTTTACCAATGAGAGTCTTGGCCAGGTGGGTCAATTAGAAGCCCTTTTTGATGATGCAGTTGGGCTAATTAATGAAGATGGAGAGACTGTTTATGTCTACGGTGATGCAGGAATTGGAAAGTCAATCTTGCTGCAAAAAATACAAAGTCTTTGGGCCAGGAAGGAATTGGACATAGGGGCCAAGTTTTTTTTCCGTTTTCGTTGTAGGATGTTTAGCTGTTTCAAGGAAGATGAAGCCATATGTTTGAAAGACCTGCTCTTCAAATATAATTGCTACCCAGACCAGGACCCCACAGAAGTGTTCCATCACATCTTGCAGTTCCCTCATACAGTTCTTTTCACTTTTGATGGCTTTGATGAGATCTATTCCAATTTTGATCTTAGCAGCGTACCTGAGATATGCTCACCCAATGAACCCATCCACCCCCTGGCACTGCTCGTAAGCCTTCTCAGAGGAAAGCTTCTTAAGGGGTCCAAGAAAATTCTTACTGCCAGGACAGGAACTGAGATCCAAAAAAACATCATTAGGAAGAAGGTGTTGCTCCGTGGTTTCTCCAGGAATAACCTGAAGGAATACACAGCTATGTTTTTCAAAGATGAGCAGCAACGAGTACTGGTATCAAACCAGTTGGAAGCTAACCCAAATCTCTGCAGTTTGTGTTCAGTGCCTTTATTTTGCTGGATTATCTTTAAATGCTTTGAGCACTTCCACTCCATGTTTGACAGCCACGAACTTCCAGACAGTTCTGTTACATTAACAGATGTATTTTTGCTCATGATTGAAGTCCACCTGAACCGATCTGTGAAAACAAGTTTGCTGAAGACCAATATCAGGAGCCAAGCAGAAATGTTCAAATCAAGAAAGGAAAGTCTTCTAGCTTTGGGTAAAATGGCATACAAAGGGATGGAGAACTCTGCCTTTATCTTTGAGCAGGAAGAAGTCTCATCGGCAAACATCACTGAAGAAGATTTGCAATTGGGCTTTCTCAGGACAGTTAAAGGTTACAGTGGCTGTGGCAGTCAGGCCAGTTATGAATTCTTGCACTTAACCCTTCAGTCTTTTTTCACAGCTTTGTTCTTGGTTATGGAGGAGAAGGTGGGTACCAAGGAGTTACTTGAGTTTTTCAATGAATGTTCTTCCCTGGAGACTGCCCAGCCTACTTGCCTTCGTATCCCCTGGTTGAAAAAACAACTAGCAGGGGAGGATCCTTTCCAAAATAAAGAACACTTTAATTTTACCAACTTGTTTCTTTGTGGCCTACTTTCTGGATCCAGGCAGAAGCTCTTCAGACATTTAGTTTCACCTGCGGTCATTAAGCGAAAGAGAAAAACACTCATCATGTACCTTGGGGAGAGCATGAAATCCCACCTGAAAGGCTACACTCGGTCCAGGCTTAAAAGCTACAATCAGGTGCAGATGCAGCCCAACTTTGTGTGGATGCTGAGGTGCCTGTATGAGACACAGAGTGAGAAGGTGGGGAGGATGGCAGCCCGCCGCATGCATGCCAACTACATCAAGCTGGCCTACTGCAACGCCTGCTCTGCTGACTGCAGCGCCATTTCCTTTGTTCTGCACCACTTCCAAAAGCACCTGGCTCTGGATTTGGACAACAACAACATCAATGACTATGGAATAAAACAGCTGCAACCTTGTTTCAGCAAGCTTGCAGTGATCAGGTAGGAGTCTTTGTATGTAAGCAGGTCTTGTGTATTCTTCGTTTATTCCACTAACTGGTGGGCTGAGGAATTGATCTCGCAAGTGGAGAAAGAGGAGGATTAGTGCTGCTCGAAATTAATGTTTCAGATCTTCTGAAATCTTTGTTCATGTAGTCACAGGAGCAGAGGTAAGCTGTGAATTTAGAAACCAAAATGGAAAGGGTGGAAAGAAGTCCTTAGAAGCACAGAATGTTTAAATCTGTAGGTTTAGTTAGCTCCATCTCAAATTGTTTTGTCTCAGAAGAGGATTTTTATGAGAGAAGGTGCTAAAGGGAAAAAGGAAACATAAGGGCATCCTCCATTATCTGAAGATCATCTGAGGCCATCTCTACCCTCGGTCATAAGGGGTAAGGGAGGATCTCTTATTCACAGTAACCCTTGATCAGAAGCTCTGAATTTCTTGTTTTGCATCCTGTCAAAATGTCTGGTTTTCATAAGACAAAAACTATCATGTCCATCCATGAAAGAATGTAGTTTACGCCTTCAGATGTGGTGTTTCCCTGAGGTGATGTGAAGGGAGGACATGGCTTGGTGTGAACAGGGGGAACTAACTCCACCTCTAACATCACAGGCCAGATTGTTTCACCTCCAGCCCTTTAAGCTTGTACCATGTAGCTATATCTTATTTGTCCAAACATTTAGGTGCAGAAAATCGGGAACTTCATATATATCTTTTTTAAATCTCCTTCAGCCTCATGAGAATTTTTTTTAACAATTGTTTTCTTCATCCTGTTTGGCTGTGCCTTGGCTTGTTTTACTCTAGAAATAAATCAAAGCCAGTGGCTCTTGTTTTTTTCCCCAGTTATTTGCAAATTGACTGACTTCCCAGGAGAAAGCATAAGGAAACTCCTTGGGAGAATGCATAAGTACATAAGACAAAAAAAAGAAGAAAAGGCCAGCCTTTCATTCTTTGTGCCTATCATGTGATCATGCCATACACAGTGTGATCTTAACACCATCCCCAGCACAAAAACAGTATTTTAGGTTTCCCTTTTAGGATCCCTTTATGGATCTTCAGATGTTGGAACTTTTATTTCTAATGAGCAATTTCTTCAGGTCAAGAAATGTTGTTTCCAGCAACTTAACTATCCCTTCCAAAGAAGCAGGCTGTCCTTATCTGTAGAAATTGGCTGATCTCTCCTGTGTACTGGTGCATTCCAAAGGGACCTTTGCTAACTAGCAAAGGCTAGGGAGGCTGTTGGTGATAAGGGACTCTCTGAAGGAAATCTTCCATTACTGAGTTTGTGTGCAAACTAAATGTGGTCGAAATGTCTTCATCAAGACAGCTTTGCCCAGAAAATGTGGTTCATGGCAATCTGAATGCTTCACTTGAACCTGTCCATTTAGTGAAGTTGAAAAAGCTTGAGAAGTTAGCAAAAAAATACCCAAAACAACAACAACAAGAACAAAAAACCCACCCCAAAACAGCTGTGAGAAGAAGCATTTTTATTCTATGAATGACTGACATTGATTTGTCTCGTGTCTGGCTGGGACAATAAAATTAGAAACATCTAGCATACCCATGGGAGCAGAGTTCTGTCTTCTGGCCAGGGCTTTTCACAGCCTTTATTTGGTGAAGCCTGAATGTGTTGTGACTTTCAAGATGCCTGGCTTTCACTATGTACTCAGAGAGAAGATTGCAAGACTAGTCGTTTGGACAGCTTGCTTTTGCTAGGGTGTTAAGCAGACTTTCTTCCTGGAATCACAGTAAGCACAGGAAGAGGTGAGATGTTTATCTGGAGTCTGACTTCCTACATTTTATTGTTCTCAGTTCTGTGGACAGCTTCCAGAGCATTACCTAGGAGATCTGGGGCTTTCTGATTTTTATCAGTTTTGGAGTGAGCCACATGAATGTGAGCTCGCATTTCCCTTAAGAGCTTTTAATATCTGGTATAAGGACCTGTTAAAATATCAGAGGAAAATGCATAGGCCTCTAGTAATTTGTTAACTCACAGGATATGAACATTCCTAATATGTATTGATTCATACTTTTCATTCCCTTCTTTCCAGGCTCAGTGTAAATCAGATCACAGATCACGGTGTAAGGATCTTGTATGAAGAACTCTCCAAGTACCAAATTGTGTCTTTCTTGGGGTATGTACCCAGCTGGGAACAAAACACTCAGCAGTGATTCTAGAAAATAGAACTCTAGTGCTGCCAGTACTGGCATGGAAGAGGTGGGCTGGAAACTGCAGTTACCTCCTCATTTAAGCAAAGCAGCTTTTTGTGTCAGAAATGATTCTGTGACAGTTCACAGGGACAAGGACCACAGTTTCCTCTCATATCACACTCCCTCACAGCCTCCTGCTGGCATCAAACCCTTCTGAGGCACAGTGTGGACCAGTGTCAGGTTACTGAACTGTGTGAGAATGCTAATTTTTATACTGAAAGTCTTCTGCTGTGGAAGGGATAGACTGCAAGCAAGAGAGCATGTGTAGTTTTAGTCTGCTCTTTTCTCCACTGTAAACTGATTTATTTCAACTATGCAAAGCAGATACAGCTTGGTAGAGACTGCTGTCAGGAACATGCAGTTTCAAGTGTGGTATTCATGATACCAATTTCTTTCAAGAGCTTAATTAGTTCTTAATGAAGTTGAAGCTGGAAGGCACGTTAGCTCTGACTTCCTGCGCTTGGTTAAGTAGCTACATAAAAATGACTTTTTGAAAGGTGAACCTGAATACCAAGAATAGCTTTTTTCCTCCAGTGCCCTAATGTAAGTACAACTGCTCAGGTATCTGCTCTTCAGTAATATTTGCAAGGGGATTTTATGACTTTTAAAAGACCAGAAGTACATTATGGTGTTTTGTCTTTTGACTTATCTTCTTGCAATATTATTTCTGTACTAGCACAGGAATAAAGGGAAGCTTTGTTTGCTTATGGAGACCATTTATTTTAAAAATTGTATAAATATTCATGATTTGCAGTCTGGTCTCCTTATATTTTATATCTAGCCCATCACAGTATAAATTATATATCAAAATAGAAATACAAGCAACTGTGAATATGTACAAAGCTGCACAGAAAAGATAGATGCTATGTGTGCATCATAAAACATTCAGGCTGTAAATATTTAACAGCAGTAATAACCTATTTTTACCAATGTGATTTTTCTTTAAGCTTATACAACAACCAAATCACTGATGTTGGAGCCAAATATGTTGCAAAATTAATTGAAGAGTGTTCAAGCCTGGAATATGTAAAGTATGTTGGATTGTTTTTCCTTTCTACACTATCCTAATTAAGGTTAAGCAGCTTGAAAGGGGAGGAAGAGTAGACAAAAAGACAAAAATTGTATTTGAAATAAAATATAATTTAGGTTGCAGTTGTATATATGTTTTGCAGTAGTCCAGCAGTGGATGGCAGTAGGTGAAACTCTTGAATCAATAGTCTTTTCTGGAATACAGTAGTGAGTTAAAGGAGTGCATGAGACCTGTTCTTTACCTAAATCCAGTCTGAGCACCTGAGCAAGGCTTAAGCTGTGTATGGACCTTGCTGTTTCTTCCAGCAGGCAAATTCCCTTGGATTTAGTACCAAGCTTTTTAGTGTCTGATCTTTTATGAGCCGCTGGGGTCAGGCTGTGCTGGTGTCATACCTCAACTCTGAAATTCCCCAAATTCACTTGGTGAGTTGTTCCCTTTAATTCCTGGAACTTCCCCAGATAAGAGTGTCTGCCTGTGCACATTGGTTGGACATAAAAGTAGATCATTAACCAATGGTTTAATTGTGACCATAGCAGAAACCAGAGATAACTGCAGCAATGTCAGCTTTTTGAGGGAATTTAGGAACAGGCAGCCAGGGACTCTTGGATTCTAGTCCTTGTTCTCCCACTGACTTGGTCTGAAACCCCACTCTGGCCATATCCTTCCTACTTGAAATTTTTGCAGAATTTTGAAACCCAGGAGCACTTAGTTCTTTCACTGCTTTGACAGTGCTTTGCTTATTTAGTGAAGCTTTCACAAAAAAAGCCTGTTGAAAGATGGTTGCTTTCAGGCTACATAGTAACCCTAGAGATTATTTTGAGATAGAGTACACATTCATGTGCCAGAAGTCAGCCAAACAAGACAGTTTTATGTAAATGTAATGGCTTGGGGGTTGTGGGGGAGGGTTGGGGGTTTGGTCTATTCTTTAAATCAATCTATATGCAATTATCTCTCCCTTGAACTCCAGCCATTTGATATCCACATAGGCCAAAAACAGAAAAGGCCTTGTGTAAAATGCCAGCCGGAGACTGACTGCTGCACTGACCTATGCCATTGCCTAGAGCCTATGCTTACAACAGAAGAACTTGAAATTATTGCAATCTGTGCCTATCAGCTGCAGTCTCCTCTGGAAACACACAGTCAAGAAATATTCTGTTCCCTATGGCATCATGAAACATGTTGCATGTAATTCATGAGCTCTGTAGCAATTGTTGATAGTATGAATTATGTTAAAGACAAGGCCGGGGTCCTTGCCCTGAGGATCAGTTCCTAAAGCTCATTTCTAACATACTGAGCACCAAACCCAAGACTCTACTGCAGTACTTCTGATTTGGAGGGCTGACATGCAAAATATGCAAAAGACAACATAAAACTGTGTCTTTTGGTCAAAGGTCAAGTGCCTGCAGTATTTTTTCCCTCTGGGTTAATCTTTGATAACTGCAGGTAACCTCCAGAGTTAATTAGCCTTAAATACTTGTGTGGCTTTCTGAACTGGTGTTGTGATAGCTGTACATCACAGCTGTAAGTGATGCACCTCATCAATTTCTGTACTTTGTGCAGAATAGGAGCAAACAAAATAACGAGTGAAGGAGGGAAGTGCCTTGCCCAGGCCATCCAGAAGAGCAAGACAATGTTTGAAATTGGGTAAGTTCAGTGCTAAAGAGCAGAAGTTAGGACTTGATCTTGGCCAGGCACCTGTAAATCCCTTAGGATTCTTTTTTTCATGCTTATCTTCTCTCCTCCTTCTAGTCCTTCCCTCCTCAACAACAGCATTAGAACAAACGAATATAGAGGCCACATTTTCCATGGAAAAGGAGGGCTGCTTTGTTGTTCTTCATTCACACAATGTTTGGTTTGGGTTTTGACATCTGTTTTTTTCTTTTTCACTTTTCTGACAGAACCTTGAAGGAGAAATAAACAAACAAGAGGACAGGATGTAAAGCTAACCACTTTCTTTATTGAAGCACAACTTTATTTTTTTATTGCAGCACAACTCCTCTAGAGATACTTGGTTATTTTTAAGTCTGTATAGTTTTATGACAATTGGCACTGCATCTAGATATTGAGTGTCATTGTTAAACCTGTCAAACCTTCTGCATCACATCCTCATAAAATTGTGAGCTGGGAGAATAAAAGGGAATTCATATCATCCTTTTCTCTTAGGCTGTCCCTAACTGCAAAGTGCTGTTATTTGAGAGAGGTCTGAATGTACTGCAAACCTTTAGTTCCTGCCCTGTTTCTCAGGAAAGGTGCTAAGTTTGATTTATTTTATTTATTTCCCCCCTCTTGTGGCAAATATCAGTTTCTCTTTTCACTGTACAGGATAACAGATTTCTTAACGTTTAATACTTGAATACATGGAATTAAAACCTCTGATTGGCCATTGTGACAATCACAGTAGCCATGAAACATGGAAATTGGATTTGTACAATCAGATTTTTGGCCTTTAATTTTGTTGTTCTACAACATTTCATAAATACAGTGAGCAACCCGAACACTTCCATATAGCTGGGTCTGCTGTGCTGTACTTGCTCTAATTTCAATGAAGGACTCCTATTTTCTCCTGTGGAGGAAATGACCACTCCAAATGGACTTAGGATAGCTTGGACAGAAATGTTTAAATAGCAAACTGCATTGACTCTGAAGGACAAGGAAATTCTGGGGAACTTACTGGAAGTCCATGTGTTTAAATACCACAGAGCTCAACTGATTTTAAAAGAGCTGCCAACTAATTACCCATAAGCTGAGTGTGGCTCTCAGTCAACAAGCCAGGATCCCTGTAAAAAACCCAACAACATAGGCCTCAGCAGAAATGTTTTCAAACTTCATAATACAGGATGAATTTTCAAAGTGGTTAGTCTGCATAGAAGGGATTTGACCAGGTACTCCTAGTTTCTGATCAATTCTCTCCAGCTTGTACCATGTTACCTTCTCTCACAAAATAACCCTTTGTGTAATCAAGGATTGTTTTGCCCTTGGAAATGCTATTTCTTACCAGTGTGCAGGAAGGTGATCCTGAAAGCATTCCTGCTGCAGCAGGCTGTCTCCTAGAGCTGCCTCTGTGCTGTGGCCTGAGGGTGCTGGTGAGTCAGCAGAGGTTACTGGTGCAATGTGCAGGCAGTGGAACATACCTGCCTCGGTGGAGAAGGTACCTGCCAGATTGCTCACAAGCCTGAAAGACTGTGAAGTAATCAGGAAAGAGGGGAGGAGAGAGAAACAGGGAGAATGCATCCGCAAGAGTCAGTAGGGCAGTACAACTGATATCTCATGTTCTCCTCTCTTCACTAGGATGTGGGGTAATCAAGTTGGAGATGAAGGAGCAAAGGCATTTGCAGAAGCCCTGAGGAACCACCCTAAGTTAACAAATGTGAGGTAAAACACCGGCAGAGCCAGGCAGCTCGGTGTAGCGCTGGCTTTTCCATCCTGCTGTGAAGCAATGGCTGTTCCCACCAAAGGTTGCCTTGGAACACCAATCTGGTATTGCAGCCTCTGCTGTGCAGCCAAGAGGTCCCTGGTGCAAGTGAGAGGCCAGACTCTGTCCAAAAGCCCTGTGCAGCCTTTAGGCAAGTTTAAAATACCAACAACAGGCATCCTTTCCTTGATGTGCACCTCCTCCCCTCATGATGCATATGTTCTGGCATTTGTGGAGGCACATGGTCAGTGGGTGCCATTTTGATCTGGGAGCATTAGCAGGAGGAGGCACCAGCTGTCACAGAATCAGGTTCCCAGTGAGCTCAGTATTAGCAGTTTCTTTTGAGAGAGTGCAGCGGCTCTTACCAAAGTACATTTTAGGCTGTAATATGAGGGGCTGAGACATTCTTATATTTGGGCTCATCCTGTGCTCTAGTGGAGCTACACCACCACACATTCAGTGCTAGTGAGATGTCGTACTCACTGGAGGTCAGGGATGGATCTCAAACCAGCCTTCTGGAAGCCATAACAGAGGTGAGGTTGGAAGCACAACAGAAACCAGTGTGTTAAACAGCCCATTCCCTGCTCAACTTTCAAGTGCTGTCTGGGGGATTTAAAGATTTAAAGATGTTTTGGAGTCCCTCCACACAGCTGGAGCACTGGGTTCATGGTGACCCTTTCTATTTGCCTCCCAGTTCCACTGGCCTCCACGGTGAGGGAGCAGGCAAGGCTCCTTAGTTTCCCCACAAGGTGGCACATGGCACTAGTTTCTTCAGAAATACTCTGGGTGTCTGGGGATCTCTGGAGAGTTTATTGCTGCCACTTTAGATCCAGGGATTTCAGAGCTGTGCCTTGTCCTCTTTTCTAGAAGCGGGTAGTCAAGCTTAAAAATTAAAAGCTGAACAGGTGCAGTGACCTAGATATATTTAAACTTAAAAGCCACCTGAAATAGCCATCTTCCCATAATTGCACAATCCATCCAGACGCATCAGACATGAAAGAAAACATTTTGAACTTGAATCAGAGCTCAGGGATTCTCAGACAAGAGCAAATATGCTGATGAATGTGTTTGCAGAAATAAAGAGGAGTAACTGTGCTGTCTTGAGCTTGGGTTTGCTGGTACTTGTGCAAGGTGAATCCTCTGCTCCGCAGTGTACTTGCTCTTGGCTCTATTTCTTATCTCCCACTGGCTAATCTTGCTCCATGATTAGAATTCATAGTAATAACTGTGGTAGCTTTATGTGAAGACCAAGGGAAGATAATCCCTACTACATCAGTTTACTTTATTTGCCATTTTTAGGCCCAGGCATGATGGACTGAGACTATCCAGTTTAAGCTGAAGCTAGGAGGTACTCATGCCAATACATACTTGTGCCATTGCTCTACTTGGTTCCTCTTTCTACATTTTTTGAGGCCTTGCATTATTTTGAGGAGGGAGAAACTTTTTGAACTCTGAAACCCAGAGCATAACTTTAACTGGATGATTTTGCCAATGTCTATTCAAAGAATGAAGGGCAGACTAAGAAATGTTTGTGGTTTGTAATGGAAAGCATTTACAAGCTCATTTCTCCATACACAGCAGAAGGTGGTGTATTTGGAAGAAGAATTAAGTATTTGGATGCCTGAGGGACGTAAAGGACAAAGTGCCCAGTTGGTACAAGGATGACAAATGCATGTAAAAACCTGTGTACTGCTAAGCACAACTCTTTGTCCTTGTATAGAGTCTCAACTCTCAAAATTACTGGGTGCAACTGTCTCCACTGTCAGCCCCAAGAGCACAAGTCAGTGATAGCAAATCTTTTGGACTGTATGAAAGACCTGCACTCAGGCTGCAGACTGTGAACTGCTCTCACTTGTAAAAGTTGTAAGGTCTCAGTGGTTTGTGAACTGTGTGAGCCTTTGAAACACCAATGCTGAGCTGTACATCTGGGAAGCAGATCATCCAGGATATTCCCTTGTATTTGGCAGTGAGAGAGCCACGTGGTGCTGCTTCTTAGACATTTGTATCTTTACTTTACAGTCTTGCATTCAATGGCATCACAACAGAGGGAGGCAAAAGTATTGCTGAAGCCATGCAGCACAACAACTCTGTGAGGATATTCTGGTAATTAACAGTGTGGTCTCTTTCTCATCTGCTTCCTTTTCCAGAGCAAAATCCTGGTTTATGTCCTCCAATCCCATCGCCCTTCCTACTCTCCCTCCTTCTCTCCCTGCCCTCATCCCCTATGCTTTCCCTATCAACAAGCTATAAGATACCCCTTTGGAAGAATGTGGGCATGAGTAATGGATCAGCAGCACATGTCCTTTGGGATACATTCCAGTGACCCAGTGCCATGCCTCGTTCTGCTCCCTCCATCTTGGTTTCCCCATCTTCTCTCCTTTCCATCATCTGAAGTCAAGTTCTTTGTCCTCAGTTTTTGCACCTCTTCAGTGTTGTCTTTACCTTTTCTCACTACACCTCATTCACCTTTTAGACACTAAAGCATCATGAGAAAGTATCACTAGAACATTGCTCAGAGAAATAAAGATCTGATACTCTTGTCTCTTTTACCTCCAGGGCTTCTCTTCAATATCTCTTTGTGTCCAGCCTTTACAAATTGCTCAGGGCAGGAACAACACATCCCCCCTTTGGCTGTCTAAAGCTAAGTCACAGACAAGCTGCAAAAACAAGGGACTGAAAAATAATGTCAACATCCCAAGTGAACATTTTCTCTCCCACTTAGGTTGACTAAAAACGAGCTGGATGATGAGGCAGCAATGAGTTTTGCAGAGATGCTGAAGGTCAACAAGAAACTGGTGCATTTATGGTGAGTTACATTCCACAGTGGCACAGGCTCTTTGGCAGTCACTACATTAAAGCTGCACCTTCCAAGTCTATGTAGGTCACAGTAACAGCTTCTGTGCATGGTCTGGATGCAGCTGACTGCTTGTAGACAGTTCTAATGGGAAGTTAATAAAGCTGCTGTCTAGCATTTGGAACCTGCTTCCATACAGGGAAAAAGTTCAAGCTGTTTCTGGTAACTTTCAAACTAATGATTGATTTCATCTCTCATTAGGGGAACAGTACTAGCCTCAAAATCAAAAGTTTCAAAAAAAAAAAGAAAACCAAAACCCCAAGCAGACAGCTAGAATAGAATAAGGTTATTACAAGTCTTTTTGTTTATCATCATTCTATGAAAGTAACTCTTCAACCAAGAACCTACATGACACACTTATATACGTGTTGCATTTGACCAATGCTTTCTTTTTGGGCTAGCAATAAACTGATGCAAGACACTCATCTCCAAGGCATCAATACCCAGGAAACCAGGAATTATTTCTAGAAATCACAGTAAGACTTTTTACACTTACAAGAAAATGCAGCATTGGCTTTTCTAATCCAAAGGTTACCAATGGATGGAGTTGGGCAGATGCGAGCTGTAAAAAAAATAGCCATCCATTCATTCCAAGTGATCCAAGGGACCATCAGACATGGAGTCCCTTTGTATGCTTTACAAAGACTTGGTTGACCACACTCTAGCACACTCCCTGTATTAATCCTAGTTCCAGCCCCTTAGGAAGCATGCTGGCTGTCATGGGTGCCAAGTACTCATAGCCTCTTTTGAAAGCAGCAGAAGCTGTGGTGCCCATCACCCTGAAAATGAAAAGACAATGGGGGAAGTGCTTGGTTTCTTTGTGCACAGCTGCAAATATAATTCACTGAGAGTTTGGGTTGAATTCATCATAAAACTTACCCCAGCCAAAGCAGGCATAGTAATCGAGGTAAGTGTCTTTGTCATAGCTCAGTGTTGTCCAAGGGTGTCTGCCAGTGGACAAATTGATATCCTGCTTTGTTGATTGCACCAGTGGATACCTCCAAGAGGTGGTGACCTATATAGATAGTTGAACTTGAGACTGAGTTAAAGTCTTTTTCCAGTAGCTGAAAGATTCTACTGGATCCCTTTGCATTTTGATTCATATACCAAGTGCAGAAACTCCTTTAATGGAATGCCTCCTTCCCTCCCTCCCTAAGAGATTGTTCAATGCCCTCCAATTTTCAGCCTCATCCTGAATCCTGAGGGATTCATGCAACCAGTCACATGGAATGGTACAGCTATGGGGCTCACCATGGTAGACTGAAAGGTAAGTATTAAATTAAACTAGGCTGATGAGTATTTTTATACTCATGCAGATGAGTGGCCTTTGTTCCTCTTTAGCTAGTGGAATGGTCTACAGTGGTTAGTAAGAGTTACCTACTGCTTCATCAGTTTGACTACTTGAGGATCTTATGTATGGGGTTTTTTTTCCCTTCCCTAAGCTCAGATGAGACATAATTTATAGCTGGTAAGTTGGCTTCACTAGGACTTGCACCTGCTCATACCAGAGTCAAAATCAGTGCTTTATTTTTCAAAGATCTTGTTGGTCTGATAAACAAGACTGGAGGATTTGGCAGCTTCTAGATCATAGGTGCTAAAACTCTAGGCCAACACAGGCTCTGTACTCAGAATTTTCTGTGCATCACTTAAAAATGTCTCACAGTCTTAGTAAGAAAGCAGAGCTGAGAGGTTTGTCTCAGTCTAAATACCAAAATTCCATACCACTAGTGAACATAGCAGAACTTTGTCAGCTGTGTAATTAAAATTGCTCAGTATCTCCAGAATGAAACTACATGTAAGATTAAAAGGAAGAGATTAATACTCTGAGCTCTGTTTCTGAAAGTGCATGTGGGGCATTTGACCAATACTGTGTACCTTTCTCACAGATAAAATCACAGTCATTTTCTTGTGGCAGAGAGCTTTGCTCCTTGATGTCAAACTGAGCATAGGTTGTGTATGTACTGCAAATTAGTTTACATGTTAGAATGACATGAAATGCTTTTTTTTTAGGCTTATCCAGAATAAAATTACAGCCAAAGGGGTGAAGTGCCTCAGTGATGCTCTCCAGGAGAACACAACTATTAAAGAAATCTGGTAAAGGTCCCTTTCTCAAAGGGTCACTTCCTTTCCCTTTAAAACCCTATTGGCCTTACTACTTCCCAACCTAAAAAATTCAGAGCAAGTTTATGCTTGGCAGGGGGTTGTAGTTCCAGCTGTGGATTTCAAACAGGTAAAAAGCCACTGCCACTAAAACATTTCCCTGTGTGTTATGAATGTCAGGCAGTTTTCTTGGTTCACATCTCTCTGTACCACTGATTTGCAGAACATGTGCGTTTGCAGAATCAGGGCCTGAATTTATAGACCAAGTTTTGCATGTTGTTTTTATTTTTAAACTTCTGCTTTTCAAGACCTAAATGCCAAACAAGCAGGAGATGGTTACCTTTAATCAGTATTACTAGTCTGGTTTGCAGAATTTGTGCTCAAACTTTTTTGGGCAATGCCCCAAACATACTGAAAGTACTAAGTTACAGGGAGATTAACTTTTCGTAGGATTTGTTTGTTTTAGATTAGGTGGGCATCACATAGTCACACGTACATTTAAGGCAGGAAGCCAAATACCACATTACTTTCCTCATCTCAGAGAGCTCAGGAGTCAATAGAACTGAGCTGGTTTTAGCACTGCTGCTTTATTATTGAACATGAAATTTATTTTTAAATATATATATTTGTTTTAGTGAAAGGACACTGATTCTTGCTTAGAAAGACAATGACTCACTGTCTGACTAGTGTGCTCCCTGGAGATGTGGAAGAGGTAGTTTTTCCAAAAGCCACTGTCAGCTTTCATCTACAGAAGAGACATCAATTCCCCTTCAGATCATTCTGAATCTTCAGACTGAAATCTGTCTTTTGATTCTGGCCTGAATGTTCAGAGGCATTCATTAACCCAAGTAATTTCATAAATCTGCATGGTTTAGTGGATTTCAACATTTCTGAGAGCAGCACTTAACTAGGCTGCTCATTTTCAGGGCTGTAAGTAGCAATTTAGATTATCTTTACATAGCCAGAATTGAAAATTTTGCTATTGGTCATTTCATGCTTGAATACTTCACGGAATTTTCTTCCTATGTTGTCTGGAGACTTTAAATATCTTTAAAGCAGTCCAGTCCACTCCACAGTAAGAACTTTTGTCAACTCTGTGCTTCTTGCTGAAATGCAAACAGCTGGGTTTCCAATGCCAAGTTCAGTTACTGGAGTTCAGGTGTGTCTTCAGGTTTTGTTTCTGAGGGAGAAGCCTTGTTTCTTGGATGTGCAGTGGGAACAGCAGTGCTGTATCCAGCCTAACACCCATTCCCAGTTGAGAAGCATGCAGCCCACATGGCATTGCAAACCTCTGCACCAAAGATGGTGCACGTAGGAGGTGGGCTCCAGTCACTACCTTACTTGCACTCACATCCCTTTTGTTCTACTCCTGCAGCTTGAACGGGAACCTGATAAGCCAAGAAGAGGCCAAAGCTTTTGAAAATGAAAAGAGGATCATTTGCTTTTGAATGGGGACTTTCCCATTTTGCTCCTACACTTGGACAGCAGAGTTTATAAAGGCATCAATCTACAGTGCTCGTGGCAGAAGAGAGATACACAATAAGCTGCCTTTTTATGAGCACACTGCACTCCCTCAGCTCCATCCCTTACTCTGCCTGTTATTTTTAATCCTTTTGGTGAGTGGGAAGTTGCCTGGGTAAATAATTAATATTTGTTTGATGCTTTGAAGATGAAATGCAAAGTGTTAACAGGCTAGATCCACTGGCAGGTGTATGCATTTTGTTAACTGAGTTTAGATCTATTCTGTACAGTGATGTAAATAATCTCTTAACTTATTTATATACGTAAATAAAGACACACAAGTATACATGTGCAAGAAAGGGTACAAGATCCAAAAACTCCACCAGCTCTGACTATTACCTGCCTCAGATCTGAAAATTAATATATACACAGCTTTACCAGAAACAGTATCTATAGTAGTTGCTTGGTGTGTGTGTGTGTGTTTTCAACATGAATTCCTTCTTCCTGCCTAGAAATTAGGTCCCTATTTCTCCAGGCAGCATCGTAGACATTGCTTTTTTTTGTTGTTGGGGTTTTTTGGATGGGTAGAAATGGATGCATCAGGCTCAAATGACTTTCAGTAATCTTTTTTTCCCATATCAAAGCCAATCTCTTTCACGCAACCAGAAGCCCTTAGTGCCATCACTATAAAACCATAGCATGGGCAGTAAACCACTTCTGCTTCAAATTTCCAGAGGGCTGCATAGAAACAGCTGCCTCCTGTTTCCACAGTGTTTGTTCTGGGGAGGGGGTCTGGAGAGAAATGTGAACAATTAATTAGTAGGCTGTTCATTGCCTTGGCTCCTGGCCTAGGCTCCATGCTGGTGGCACTACACCAATATCACGTTGCCCAGCATCAGTGGGGAGAAAGGATGATTGAAAATCAACTCATCAAGTAGAAATCCCTCTCCCAGCAACAGGCAAGGACACAGAAGGATTGAGATTGGCTTGGAAAGCTTTTAGTCTATGCTTGAATCAGTGGACAGAGCAAGGCAAGGAACAGTAGGAATAATAAGGACCAGCAGGAAAACATTATCCTCCCCAAAATGATTATTGTTCAGGGAGTGTAACTTTAGAGGCTTTAAAAAAAATCAGTTAGCAAAGGAGTGGGGTATTTGATTATTCTTTGTGGGAGCTTTATAAACTCAAACTCTACCTCACAGTGTAGGGGGTAGAGTTTGAGTTTATGAACCTAAAATGGTAAAGTGTGAACCATTTTCCATCCTTGTCCCATGCTACCATCATCCCCCCGCCAAACTTTGAGAAACAATTCTCCAGTTGCTGACTAACCCGCAAAATCTTGGTAGGTTGGAATAAGAATCTCCAGTTAAAATGCCAAACCAATGAACCCTCACTTCCCCACCTTCCAAATCCTGCCCCATGAAGCAAAGAAAATGCTTGCTTTGTAGGTCAGAGCTGCTCCATTTCCTATGTGGTAGCAAACCTTTCCCAGCCCTCAATTTTGTCTACTCCCTTCAGCTCCCTAACACATTTTCAAATATCCACTGGGCTTCTCACAAAAACTGCAGTTACAAAGGAAAAAAAGGGAAGAAAACCAACTTAGTTATTTTTCAATGGCTTTTCCTCTGTGCCTGTGGTATCAACACTGATTTTTCACAGGGAGACAGATGAGGTTTTTCAACCATGCCAGAGGGAACTCAGCTAACTTGAATGATTTCTGCACCTGAACCATTTGTTTACTGAAGTAAAAGGGCACACAGTTACAGATGAGCTGGATTTCAATTGCCAAAACATCTGCCAAAGCAAAGCTTTTAAAGACTTCTCAGTGACTTTAACAAATCAGAGATTCATGCACCTTGTCAAAGTGTGTTTTGCCAGCCAACTCGGATGGAAGGGAGAAAATACTGGTACAAGGAAGGTCCTTCACCAGAGGTGTAATTTGCCTGTGTTTGAGGAAGTGTGCTCCTATTTTGCTCTGATCATAGAATTATTTGCTCATTTACCAGGTAGAAAATATGTTTAAGCCTACGGTTCCTGTCCTTGTTTCACTAATTGACTAAAATAGCTTCCCCCAAACTTTCCAGTGCAGTCACATATGCCCCTTTTTTGGGCTAGAGCAGCCTTTGGCATTGTTTGTAGTGACAAGCTCAGCCCTGCCCAGCCCTTTGCAAATTTTGTTCCATACCTGGCTGTTATGAAGTGGGAATCCAGGGAGTGTTTTCAGGGACAGCAGCATTTACAGGTCTGCAGCAGCTAAATGCAGCCTCAGGGTAAGTGGTGGCAGGATCAAGCCCATCTCCATGTAGGACAGAGTTTGGCACTGAACAAGATTACAGTGCCAGAGACAGAGCCAGTCACAGCCACTCCTTCCAGAGGTAATTTTGGGCAGCAAATGCTTGTTTGGACTGGGCTGAAGGTCTGAGCACAGGTCACTCTGGGTTTGACAAAACCAAGGAGTTTCACAGCATCCTACTCCTAGCTCACCCAAGCAGGAGGTCTGCTTCACAGAGCACATCACAGTTCCAGGAGTCATGCTGGGCAAACTGGTTGCTGCTCTGGGAACAGCCAGACATCCCTTGTTTATCTGCACAGCATTTCTGGCTGAAGCTCTTCCTAGTCTTACCAGCCTGTTTGTAAGGAGCATTGGAGCAACACTTCTGTAGCTTGCAGGGAGAGCCTTGTTTACTCAGAGACAACTGTAACTTTTTTCAGACTTGTTTGCAATTTGCTGAAGACTTCTCTGTACACTGTGTCATGTTTTTCCACTCTCCACTGTGATAATAAACAGCTTTTTAAAGAACAAGCTGCCTGCAAGTGCTCGGGCTTTGCTGAAGCCCTGTCGAGCAGAGCTTGGCTGCCTCAGGATGGGACAGTGACACTCCGGCTAATTCTGGCTGCAGACAGGAGAGGGGATCTGCCGCAGCTGGAGAAGGCCTTTCACAGCTGCCACTGCCCATGAGGGGCCCTTCCAGCAGCAGGTGCCAATCCAGTTAGAGGCAGTGAGGGAAAGCACAGAGGTGCCTCAGGGATGTGCTGCAGCCATGCTGCACCCCTGTAGTCCTCCTGCCACACTTGACTGCAGGAGCTCTTTGCATTTCCACCTTCTGCTGCTGGGGTCAAAGACTTGTTGGTTTAAGGTGTCACCACTTGTATTTGACTGGTGCAAACTGTGTGTTTACTGGTGCCAGATGATGCTGCAGCCCTCAGGAAAGCCCTGCTGTGACACAGTGCAGTCCTGCTCCAGTCAAACACTGCCAGGTCCTCAAGAAAGGGTGTTTGTCTGAGCCTGGTGTGGCTTACTTGGTGTCACACGTGTCTCCAGGTGCCAGAGTGCAGTTTATGACTTGCAGGGTGCTACAAGGCCACGCAGCCTTTGCTCTTCAACCACAGCCAGTACAGGATCCCAATCTCACTGTTCAATGCCGAGGGAGTGGTACTGATGCCCAAAACAGAGCAAGACACCTGTTGCTGTTGACCTCGTTTCAGGGAGATGAGACACACTCTTTCCAGGAGCAAAAAAAGCTAAAGCTTTTTTTTTTTACATCCCTTTATATAGAGTTTTATAAAGCCTCCCATGTCTATCTCCTGTTGGTCAGTAACAAGCTGCTACCCCATGGTAATTGGTCAGTCTTGGACAAGATGTCTATGTGCAAGAAAGGGTTGTTTGTGAGATACTAATTTCATTATGAAAGTGGAGATGGTTTGGATTGTTGAAACAGGTGCAGGTAAATAGTCCTAATCTGTAGAATTCTTTTGCAGGGAAAGGTTGTTTTTCACTGTTACAGGCTTCTGTTTTAATGAAGAGATGTTAGTTTTCTCATGGCTATGTTGGGCCAAGTCAGGATCCAGACTGTGATGCTTTATACATGCCTACTGTTTGCCACCACAGACACCCATGCCTGCTTTTCTGTAGCTTCATTCTGCTCCCTTACCTTGTGTCAGCAGACAAAAAGAGAAGCCCACTGCAGAGCTGTACAAATGGCTGCAGTCAGGCTGTATCAGAGCCAGGTGAACAGCAGTGAGGGATGGGTTTGCCATGAGGAAGGAGAGGTCACTGGAGAAACCACTCAGTTTTCAACTGATGGAACGAGTAATCTCAGCACAAAAAGCTGCAGCTGTACACAAAGGCCTTAACAGCTGCTTTAGGAGGTAGAAACAACAGCAGGATTGTGCTAGGTGAAAATGGAGGCCAGGCTGGGAGCTGCCAGCTGCACTCAGGGACTCCAAATTTACTCACAGGAGGAGGTTTCTCCTTGCTTGTTGGAGGCTCTCAGTTGCTCTGTGGGATAGATCAGCCTTCTGAAAACACAGCAGAGCTACTAGGGCAAGTCCTTTGTCACTTGCCAAAGTGGGAAGGTGAGAGGATGCAGGGAGTGCCACAGGTGCTGTGGGAGTCCCTCTTCCATCCTGGGAAATAGCTGATCAAATCTCCTGTGAATCTCAACAGGGCTGAGGTCAGCCAGTATTCATTCTCCACTCCCAGAAGTAAATGAGAGCTGATGGCACGAGTTACAGACATTTGAAACAGCTGCCCTCAGGTACACAGGGGGATGTGAAAACAGGGATGATGTTTCAGAGAAAACAGCAGCTTTAGCTTCAGGAGCATCAAGGCATGAGAGGTCACAGCAGGTGGGTTAAAGAATAAAAACTGGTCCTACTCAGCCAGGGCAGTCATTGCTTTATACTGGGAAAGCAGGAAATGTCCTGTGCCTTTTGCAGACAGGGAGTCTCTGGGTGATGCACTAGAAAGCAGCAGGTTTTGGGCAGCGCTGGTGCCACCTCACCCACTCGAGGTCAGCACCTGCAGGGCTCAAGCAACCCTTTGGGGTGGCAGTACATAAATTCCTGCCACACACAGGGCCGGCAGGTGCTGCTGGCACCAGGGCTGCTGGCAGGCTGCCGATTGTGCAGTGCAGGTCTGAGAAAGGTGCCACGCTTGCCCATCCCGGCCTCCACGCAGGCAGCTGGCTCGGGGGCTGGCTGCTGGTGACACGGCTGAAGGGCCACTTCCATCACTGCAGCGCTGTGCCCGACGGCGAACCAGCCCTGGTGCAGAAGCGTCCCCCTCGCTCCTGTGGGGGACAACCAGAGCTCCAGCTGCAGCAAAGCCCTTGCGAACACTGAATTACGCCCAGCCTCTCCCGTCCGGGGATTCCCCTCACACACACACTGAAGGCAGCATCTCCATTAGCTGCTTGGAGCTCACAGACTGGAGCAAATGAAGCTGTCAAGCTTTCATGCTCTCATTACCTGCCAGACGCTTTAATCCTGAGTTTAGCAGATATTAATCCCGGCCCGGGTGACTTGTGAGGGGGAGAGCTGCTCCCTTGAGAAGCCGCCCGGGTCGGCAGGGGAGGCGGCGGGGAGAAGAGGCCGCTGCCAGCGGCGGGAGCAGCCCCGCTGCGCTCGCTGCCCTCCGCGACAGCGCCCGCGGGGCCCGGGGAGACGCCGGGCAGCTTCCCCTTCCTTCTGCTAAAGCCGCCTTAAAGAAACAACAAGGAGGGAAGGGAGGGGAAGGTTTTGTTAAAATGTAAACGCATGTTCAAACAAAGCAATCTGTAAACAGGAAGAAAGGAAAGTAGGGCAGACCGTGACTCCGAAGACAACGGGCCAAGTGCGGAGGCACAAGGCACCTGCCATTTCCAGCGGGCTCAGCTGAGGCCGCGTCCCTGCCTCAGATCTGCCTCCTCTGCGCTCTTGCCTTCACGAGGAGTGAGTCATCTTGCGTCAACTGATGGGCTTTATGCAATTATTTATTTATGTCAAACCCTCCTCCCTGCCACCATGCATCCCTGATCTCATTCCCCTCAGAAAACAGATGCTTTATTGCGTGAGGGCTGGAAAACTCCATCTCACTTGGCTTTTGCTGAGGCTCCTTGTTTCCCAGTGGCTGGCTGACAAGGAGACGGCAGGAATGAGCTGCGCAGCGCCTCACAGGCAGTGTGCTCTGGTTGTTTTGCTTTTTGGACACCAGCACCCCTCTCCCTGCAGGGTGGGATGGAGCCAGGAGCCTCCTCTAGTGAACAGACATGCTGGGGGATGTTTGCAGACACCAGCAGGCTCCAGCCTGCTCCCCCCGCCCCTGGCACATTGCTCAGGTGTCGCAGCCTCAGAAGGAGAAGGAGACCTTACAGAACAGGGCACTCAAAAGCCAGGGAAGGAATTTCCCTGTTATTTCCTGCTACTGCAGGGGACTCTTCCCACCTTCCTGGTCTCTTTGCTGAAGGGTGTGTGGTGTTCCCCTCTTTCTGCTAAAAACAACACAGCATCCAGAAGTAGACATGGACCACTGGCTGTACCAAACAACAGCATGTGGTAG